AACAGCCTTACTGCTGATACAAAGAAAGTTTTAGTGATCTAAATATGTTAAACCAGCCACAAAATTCCTTTAAGTCAAAGTCTAATCCAGAGCAAGACTCTATCACTCTTCAATTCTATGAAGGTTGAGAGAAGTGAAGAAGCTGCAGAAAAACAAACAAACAAACTTTGAAGCTAACAGAAGCTGGCTCATGAATTTTAAGGAAAGATGCTATCTCCATAACACAAAAGTACAAGGTGAATCAGCAAGTGCTGATGTAGAAGCTGCTGCAAGTTATCCAGAAGATTTACTTAAGACCACTAATGAAGGTGGCTGCACAAAATCACAGATTTTCAATGGAGACAAAACAGACTTCTATTGAAAGAAGAGGCCATCTGGGGCTCTTAAAGCTAGAGAAATCAATGCCTGGCATCAAAACTTCAAAGAACAGGCTGACTCTCTTGTTAGAGAAAGATGTAGCTGGTGACTTTCAGTTGGGGCCAATCTTCACTTAACATTCTAAAAATGCTCCAGTCTTTATGAATTATGCTAAATCTAATCTGACTATGCTTTAGAAATGGAGCAAAGCTTAGATGACAATATATCTGTATACAGCATGATTTACTAAGTATTTTATTTATTTATTTATTTGTTTATTATTTTTTGAGACAGAGTCTCACTATGTCGCCCTCAGTAGGGTGCTGTGGTGTCATAGCTCACAGCAACCTCAGACTCTTGGGCTTAAGTGATTCTCCTGCCTCAGCCTCCCAAGCAGCTGGGACTACAGGTGCCTGCCACAAAGCCCAGCTATTTTTTTGTTGTTGCAGTTGCCATTGTTGTTTTAGCTGGCCTGGGCTGGGTTTGAACCTGCCAGGCTTGGCATATGTGGCTGGCGCTGTAACCACTGTGCTACAGGTGCTGAGTCTATTTCTTTATTTATGATTAATATATATTTTTTTGAGATAGGGTCTTGCTCTGTTGCTCAGGGTGGAGTGCAGTGGTGCCACCATAGCTCACTACAACCTCTAACTCCTAGGCTCTAGTGATCCTACTGCTTTAGCTTCCCAGAGAGCGAGGACTACAGGTGTGTGCCACCACACCCAGCTGATTTTTGAAAATTTTTTTGTAGAGACAACCGTTGCCCAGGCTGGTCTTGAACTCCTGGCCTCAAGCGATCCTCCTACTCAGCCTTCCAAAGTGCTGACAGGCATTGAGTCACCATGCCAAGCCTTTACTGAATATTTTAAACCCACTGTTTAGATCTACTTCTCAGAGAAAAGATCCTTTTCAAAATATTACTGCTCATTAACAATGTGCCTAGTCACCTAAGAGCTCTGATAAAAACGTATAAGGAGATTAATGTTGATTTCATGCCTGCTAACACAATTGCCATTCTGCAGCCAATGGATCAAGCAGTAATTGTGATTTTCAAGTCTTACTATTTAAGAAATACATTTCATAAGGCTATAGCTGCCACAGACAGTGATTCTTCTGATAGACCTGGGCAAAGTAAATTGAAAACCTCCTAGAAAGGAGGTTTCTAGAGGTTTCAATGCCATTTGAGACATTTGTGTTAAAGCTAAAATCTAAATGGTTAAAAATGAGAAAATATATTTTACCTACATATTTATTATTTCTGATACTTTTTCCTTTATTTATTTAGATACAAATTTCCTTCAGGTGTTATAAGTTTTCTGACCAAAAAACCTCCTTAATATTTCTCATTGTGTATAGCTAGTGTTAATGAATCCCTTCAGTTTTTTTTTTGTCTTTATTCTTAAAAATGGCATTTACTGTGTATATAATTCTAGGTTTACAGGTTTTTTTTTTCTTTCATTGTCTTTTTAGATGATGTATTTTCTGAAGAGAAATCTGCTAGTACGGTTGTATTTGTTCCTCTGTAAGTAATATGTCTTTTTTTCTTTTCTTTGGCTTCTTTTAAGATTATAATGTATTTAATGATTTTTATGTCTTTCATTATTTAAGAGAGGAGTGCACTATGCTGGTTAACACCTGTCAGCTGCTCCTTTAAAATCTACCAGGTTATTTGCTGTTTTTTAATTTTTATTTTTAGAGACAGAGTCTCTCATTTTGTCACCCTCGGTAGCTCACAGCAACCTCTAGCCTCTTGGGCTTAGGTGATTCTCTGGCCTTAGCCTCCAAGTAGCTGGAACTACAAGGCGCCGGCCCCAATGCCCAACTATTTATTTTTGTTGCAGTTTTGGCCAGGGCGGGTTTGAACCCGCCACCCTCAGTCTATGGGGCTGGCGCCCTACTCACTAAGCCATAGGTGCTACCCAGGTTATTTACCTTTTTAAGGTCATTATTGTTAGATGCATATACATTCATGAATATTATTATCGTCTAGTGGAATGACCCATTTGTCATTCTAAATATTCTATATTGTCCTTCTTTTTCTTTACTTAACTCCCAAGCTCAAGTGATCCTTGCCTCTGCTTCCTAAGTAGTTGGGGCTACAGATGCTAGCTATACCGCTCCTGTCTTAAATGTGTCTCTTATATGCAGGATGTACTGGATTATTTTTCAATCATACTTTTTCTTTTTCTTTCTACTGCCATGACTAAACTTTCATAATTCCCTCATTTTTCTGTGATGCTTCAGAAGTTATATATTCTATCCTATTTTTTGAGCATGCTCTTAAATTTTTAACTCATGTGCTTACATTTGAAAACCTGAGTTAAAAATACCTCTTTTATTGCTTCTTTTTATTAAGTATAAATTAGACCTTATCATTTTATTTGCCATGTCTCTGAATTTCTCTTTTACCTTCTCAAACTCTTTACCACTCTCTGGTGTGATTTTCTCCGTATCTATCTCCAAATACATGAATTCTTTCTCCATCTACATATGTCTACTCTCTCTCTCTCT